CCCCCCCATTCCCCGTTATTAAATGAATCGCTCTCCGTGAAGAGGTCGTTCCTACCTTGAAATATCGCGGGAAGAAACTTATTCGTAGTGGCTGCCTTTCAAGTTGTCCAAGTTGCCGCGTCTGCAGCGTCCAATGTCGATGCCGATAACGATAATTAGAGCAGAGTAGCTGCTATAATCGGGCAGGTAGGAGTCGCTGTTAACGATGGACCAATGAATCAAGACGATGGGGAGAGAGAGAGGGGGCGGGGGAGGAGAGAAGATAATTTCATAGGAATCGTATTGCTCGGGGCGATCCGCCAAATGAAAAGTAAACTTGACCATTTCTCCGAGTGATTGCGAGTGCGCCTTGTCAATGTAGGTGACCTCCTCTCTTAATTAACAGCTCAGCGGTCGTAGCTTTAACTGACTTTTACATCTGGTGCGCACTTACTAAGGATAGCTTCATTAGAGCTGGATAATCCGCGCATCCGGAGGCTCCGTGCCGACTCATAGAAAGTTTTCGATAAAGCGTAATCGCCATGGCGCCATCGGTGCTTCCGTTCCGTCGCCTAGATTCCGTTGCTTAGATTCCGAGTGAACCCGAACCAGGCGTCGGCATTGCTTAAGGTCGTCGGGTGCTTCGCTCATTCGCTCGCGGATCGCCAAATGGAAAACATTAGAAACCGTCGCTCATGGCGCATCTCCTCAAAACAAATACGGCGCGGATCTCGTTCTTCGATGTATTTCCTCCTGCATTCGTTCAGCAGTGCTTCTTCCTCTCGATAAGGGAAACGCCGATGGCTCGGCTGGGTTGGTGCTGCTGCTGGTGCCTACCTGAATCGTGCCTATACCGCCTGTACCGTAAGCGCCGTAAGAGCTTGAGCTTCTTGCCAGGCCGATACGAAGACGCCTCTACCGGTGGATCCTTCCTTCCGTCCTACGTGACTCGTTCGATTCTGCAGGCCGAAAGCCGCGTGGTGACTGATGGCGGTGGCCGTCCCTTGATTTGTCAATCTGGCCAACTTCTGCCACATCCGGGAGACGGAAACGGCATCGCGTGAGAACGGTTTGTTAGTTTTACGGGGATTCGAGAAAACCAAGAGGAACTGTCAGGCCTCGTAGGATTGCCCAAATGCTCCTCGTTACTTTCACTGTCGCTGCGCCCGGCACACACTTTGCCAATTGCGATTATTCTTAGATCTTTCGACTCTGCACGCGAGGTCCAGCAATCCGGAAATTACGTTCAGGAATCACCGGCGGGATGAGCCCCGATATGGAAGTCGAGGGTGGCTCGTCGCTTCTCGAGTATAGGGCAGTTTGTTTTTTTTTTTTTTTTTCATTTCCAATTGGCCCAAGTACAGCACAGGTGTTAATTAGTCGGAGCCCAGCGAGATTCTCCATTATTATTCAATCCGTGTAGTTTGATAATTTTCACGTGGCGAAGGTCACGCTAAATGGAAACACATGACGACTCTTTAGCTCGCAATTATATGTATACTGTCTATAAAGCAGTTACGTAAAGGAGTAAGCGGCTGAACGTGATTCCGTCGGTATCGTACAGGTTGTACTGGTTCACTTAGAGGACAGCACAGCAGTGCGCGACTCGTGTCAATTGGCAAGGAGTACAGGCAAGTTTACCTTATTTATTTCCCCCAATTCTTGCGTAACAGCCAGACGCTTCCCGCGTTACGATAAAGAAGCGATAATCAGCGTGAATTAAAAGGACCAAGAGACTCGCGATTTAAAAGTTAAATCCCAACTCGGAGGATTTGTGGTTCGTGTCAAGAGGCGAGTGGGCAAGTGTAACGGTGCCGATAAGACCCACCACGCCCAGTCTCGTTCGAAAGGATAAATTGGCAATTGGAAATTGTTCGGAGGAGCTGCGGAAGAGTCGTTCATTGATTGTTCAGCCTTTATGAGAATTGAGCGTCTGGCCAATCGGCTTTGTTCGGCCGTCGTTATTCAATCGGCCGACGAAGCCCGAACGCCGCTTAAATTACCCTCTGACGAGTTATTAGCCGCGCGTCCTGCGTCCTGCGTCCTGCGTCCTGCGTCGCCTGTCTTTTTGCTCCACGCGAGGCAAAAGTAAAAAGACTCGTGAGAGAGGTCTCTAACCCAGAATGCTCGGCTTCTCATTCTGGATTTATGATTAGACACGTGCGCAGGTGGATCTCTGTCTTGACAAGAATTTCTCGATATACTTTCTGCCCTCTCTCTCTCTCTCTCTCTCTCGCGCGCTCGCGATCTTTCCTTCTCCAGCTAATCCTACCTTTACGCGATGCTTTCCCTACTGCGCTAACGAGATGCATGCTTCAGAGAATTGATCCACGTGTCCCGGACGCTGCAGGCGCCGCGGGCGTCGCGGCGCGGTTCGACGGTTCCTCAGCTCGGATGCAGAAAAACTTTGGAGCTTTCGGCGCCTTCGGTACTCTCCCAGTTCCTCGCACTTCACTGCACTGACTTTCCTCAGTTCTTCTTGTCCTGCTACTCATTGTCAGTCGGCCAGGAAGTGCGACGTGACTTCGCGCTACAGCGAATTGGAAACGCAGGCAGGTGGCAGGTGGCAGGTGGCAGGTCGCCTGCCGAAATAACAGCTTACAGCAGGAAATTCGTAATTCCGGCTTAAACTGTGCATCCAAGCGAAAGGGGAGGAGGGACTGCGTGTAGGGATTTGGCAATTGCCCGATTTTCTCGAGCGATTTACAGCTGATGCTGTTGCTCCTGTCGCTTCGACGCACGATGAACCGTTCCTCCACGGTGCAGTGTGAGGGAACCGAAAGACAGAATCGAATAGAGAAGGTTCACTGGAGCGTGGAGCCACGAGCCACGAGCCTAGAGCCTAGAGCCTAGAGCCTAGAGCCTAGAGCCTAGTCCCTTTTTTCTTAACTTTTCTCTGTCCCGATCCACCATTTATTTCGTTTCATATGTAAAATCAAAGATAGACCTTGCCAGCTATCCGCAGCCAGATATCTGGCTGTAGGCGCTACGACTCTTCCTTTTTTCATCCGAGGCCTCAGTCGAGACGCGCCTTCCTCCTCTAGCCAAAGATTCGAGTTCGATGCCGTTATGAAAAAATGTAGAGGCTGCCTGGTCACGCCCACGCACTCTCGATATCGCCCTCTGATTTATCAGCTGAATGTGCTCCGTGTCCGGTGGACCCGTGTGTGCCTACATGTGCCTACGTAAGTGCAAGGCGTCATTGTCACACGGCGGGACGGTCGCACATCCAGATGGGCCGCACTTGCACCTCATGTATATAATTGCTCGTAACGTTGACTCGGTTTCACTATTCCCTTATACGCAGTGACTTCCCGTGCGACCCGCGATGCGCCGACGTAACTACATGCAAAGTGGTTGAAGAATTTCTCACGGGCTCGAGACGGCGCTGCGTTCGTTCGCTTCTTTGCTGCATTTATCGCAATTCCGAATTGCCTTCCCGAGTAACTCCGCCAGAGACTGTTCCTATCTTTTCTCAGAACCCGACAGAGCAACGCACAAAGAGGAAAGGCCTCGCCCTCGTCGAGAGGGAAATGTCGCCGATTGAAAACGGGAGCTTTATACGTTGGTCCTATATGGCAGCGAATAGGGAAACCGCGTGTCCCGCTCGCGCCACCTCCCGGAGTCTCGGGAAATCTGCATTTCCCCAATGCCAACGTTTCGTTCGATCCCTTTCACGTGCAATTTATGGAATTGATGGAATCGACGGTCGACAAGTTCAGCGCGAGAAAGGCGCCGCGGCGAACGGCCTTTCTCGGACGTTTATTCGTCAGGAGCGATCAAGCGCGATCGTCAATGAAAGCTTCCTTAAGTCGCGTCGACTTTCAGCTACTTGTAGCTGCTCTCTCGGCGAACTCCTCTAATTCATAACAATTCGATTCAACACAGCGATTCACGTTTCACGAGTGGAATTTATTCCGGTCGAAGAACCACGAATAATTTTGAACACGGCGAAGTCGCCAAGTCGACATGGCGAAGCGACGCGTCGTTGAGAATTTCGAGAAGACGCAGAACCACTCGTGGATTCGTCTCCTCTGGCTACACGCGTGCACACGTGGGCCACGTGGGCCACGTGGATTGGGCCCAAGCGCTCAAAGTTCGCCGCGCCGACGTGGAAAGACAGACAAACGTCGATACGTGTACAGCTAACGGAGAGAAAGGTTTTTCGCGTATTATTAGAACGGGCCAGCCTTGATTTCGACACGATTTCTCACGGAGACTCCGAGTGACTCGCAGTTACCAATGATAATAGAAGTAAGCAGTCGCGGTTTGCCCCAAGGACTCGGTAGGCTCGTCACTTCGATTCCCGTGAAATTGCCAACGCGGCAACCACAAAATACCCGAGGGAACAACTCCGCAATTTCACCGACCGTCGCGAGCCCCCGCGCGATTCCGTCACCCCAGAAGAGGCCACCCACCCCAGGCCTCGACTATTGCTACACGCGCATCCAGCCAGCTGTCATACTTCTCCCTAGCTATTCGCTAAAGTTTACTCAATGCCCCATAGAAACGCCCCACAAGATTTCATCCCGGCGCGACCCCGTAGGAGATATCGATCTTAAAAAAAATAGCAATTTCAATATTTCCCTCGGATAATCGCAGGGCTCGACGACTCCTCGGGTTTCCAAGTTGAGGGATCAAAATAAAAAGTAGGTATGAGTAATGCCGAGATATTAATCCGACAGCATAAATTTGTCTCCTTGGCGTAATCTCGAGTGTCAACAAAACAAGTCGGGCGAAGGACAGCATCCAGCATGATCTCGCGGAGAGAGATTCAGCATCCTCGGGATAATAAGGAGAGCACGAGAGTGCGAGTGAACGAGGGGGCAATGGGGAAGAGAGAAGCGGAGAGAAGGATAAAGAAAGAGAAGAGAGAGAATATACGTGGTGTAACCTCCCACCAGAAACCGAACGTACAGCCTGGCGGAGCCTGATGGTCGAAGCCTGCAGAGTCTCCCGGCGCCGCCCCACCAGTCTCCCAGCGCTGACCGAGGATAGGAACGTGGCAGGAGTCACTAGCAGCCAGCGCCAGCGCCAGCGCCAGAGCCAGCGCGGCGCGTTCGAGGATAGAGCCAGTGCGAGCCACTGGCAGAGCTTGTCTCTCCGTTTCTCGTCCCACTCCGCTACTGCCGGCAGTTCTGCACCCTCAGTATGAAGCCGACATCCGTGCCGCGTGCACCTGCACCTGTCGTTACGACGCTCACGACCCGTCAAAATCCTAACCGTCCTCACGAGTCGTCCGAGCACGCAGCGCCCAAAAGCACGACCGTCCGCCGGGACAGCCGTTTCTCTTGAATTCATTCGCATCCTCGAATCGCGCGTCGACTACTCGCGCGTGGCTAAGAACGATCCTTTGAAAATTTCAAAGGAAATTTCTCCGAGCTACCAGAGCTACCAGAGCACCGAAGAGTTCGCGATTCGAAGTGCGGGAATTCGGGATTTCTTGTGACAAAGAGTGAAGACGAGCGGAGACTCGTGGACTCTCTTGGATATTCGTGCCTTCGGATATTCCTTATGTAAACGTCAAACGGATTCTATTTAATCGGTGACACATGCCCTTCCTTATGGAGGACGAGAGGGAGCATCTTTGGATATAGAGTGATCATGCCTTGGTGAGTTTTCATTTATTTTGACAAAAACAAGAGTCGCACTATTCGCGGGTATACCATGTCATACCATACATCACGCCATCGCGTCATGACGCGGGGACGTTCGCGTAACGAGGAAACGCGGATCGATCGAAATCCTGTGAATCCTCGATAAATGGATCGCTGGCGGATAATTGAGGGACGCGTAGCAGGTTTCCCATTATCAGAATCGTCCTAGCGTGTCTGTCCGATCGCAAGACGATGATTGCGACGATCGTCCGTCCTTCTTCCTCGGAGGCTGCCAGCAGCTCGGGCTGCTCTGACGTCCGTCGATGTTATTGCGTCACCTGTCGTAAGAAGTTACGCAAACGAAGGTCGATGTTTTCAATTAGAGGTTCGAGAGGTAATTGTGTAATTAGCTATCGGGATCATTCGCTCCATTGATCGGTTCCCCATGGGCACGCTCGATTCCTCCGACAATCTCAGATTCTCCGATCGTTCTTCGCGACTTCACTCCGGATCCCGCTGGCGATCCTTTCGATCAGTATCTACATGCTCGTTACTGGCAGGAGGTTTCTTGAGTTTCCAGATTATTCCGTGCGATGCGTCGTTCATCGCCACGCACTCGATGTAGCGTGGATTGACGTTGTAGATGGAAAAAAGAAAAAATGTTTTTTTTTCAATCACTCGGTAAACCTTAACGTTGAATTTTTGAAATTGTTGGCCCTAACCTTGCGCTCTTGGGTCCCGCCCGACACTCCTGCTACTCTTGTACTTTCCTGGCCAGTGACTCGGAAATCCCATGATGAGGCTAGTCGTTTTTTGGGACCGGAACACCCACACGAAATGAGGTCCGTGGCCCCTAGAGGCCCAAGCAAATTAATCACGGTGCTCATGCTCCAGATCGGAATGGCGGAATCTTAAATCTACGCTATACAGAATATTTTTCGAAAAGACAAATTTGCAGTTAGGTAACAGGTAATCGAAGTAACCGGAAGATTAGTCGAAAGTAAGGTAATCAGACCTTCCCTGGGATGGCGTCAGCCAGCGTCACGACTGAGTCCAGGATTTACTCAAGCGGTCCATGGACGTGGCTATAGAGTTGCGTGTACATTTGGTGTTCTACGATCGTAGGAGATGAAATGTGAAATGCTGCCAAAGGGAAAAGGCAAATCCTTGACCAGTTCGTTCGGTGGCTCCTGTCCAGCTGCGCGCTTGTCCAGCGTTCGCAGCCTAGAGAAATAATGAATGAATTGGTGCGAGTGACCGAGATAACAACTGATCGTTCCTGGGACTTTAATACTTATGAAACAAGAGGATTCCGATCACCGATCACAGATCAGAGATCAGAGATCAGAGATCGGCTCTACTCGAGTGGATCCTACATAACCGGTAGAAGACATTATTGACCCGATATGGTCAAGGCAGACTTGAACCGCTGAAGAAACCTGGACGAACCAGAAACCAGAACGAGGGCTTAGTCACTCAGCTCCACTCGATGATTTTCTAAACGATTAGAAATAATTGTGCTGCCGCTGGAAAAGTTAGGATGCAATAGACACCGACAGTATGTGACCATTTATATCCGTACAGTGTACAGTAGACAGTGGAGAGTAGACAGTAGACAGTAGACAGTAGACATTAGACAGGATACAGCTTAGAGCAACGTGTTCTCCCGCAATGCCCAGCGGTCCATCTCGCGGAGTGATTGGCTTTTATTCGGCCGATTTGAAAGTTTCAATTAAAAGAGCCAGCCAAGTTGCTGTACCGTCGGGACCCGAGCTAGGAAGGAACTAGGTACCTCTGGTCACGAGCCCGTAACACACTGCACGGTCCACACATGCCACACGTGCCATACGCAGTTTCACCGAGATGGATCACGTATTTCATTATGCCGCACTGCTTGTTATGCGTCCTCTTCGCTCTTCGCTCTTGGCTCCGGACTCGAGAGGAGCCCAGCATCCGTGCGGGATCCTGTTTGTAGAATCGCACAAAGTAGACCGTCCTGCCGACCGGAGACTCGATACTCGCAGAGTCCAGATTAGAACCGACAAAGCGGCAACTGGCCACTCGCCAGCTCCTGACTCCTGCGTTAGTTGAATTATCGCTGGATGCCCTGCCGACTCTAAGGACCACAGCCTCCGAGCAGCCAATGCAATCTCACGTTGCGAATTGAATGGCAAGATCGTCAGGACTCTCGGTGCTAGTTCCCTCTGGCACCTGGCACAACCGATCAACCGATCGCTCACCTGTCCGTCTGTCTCATTGATATTTGCCAGCGCTTTCTCGCATTAGCGCCGTGAAAAATCAAATTCTGACCGCTGAAAATTTGCTGCAGAAGGGCGCTGGACGCGAGAAAGCTTTTCCATCTTCCGACTCAGGGATGTCCGATCCGTCACAGAGAACGCCGTCGTTAATACACAACGCGAACTCGGCAGCCTGCAATTATTACCATTCACAATGGCTGGCTGGTTGCTCGGTTGCTCGGTTGGTTGGCTGGTAGCAAGATTCTTGGTTAGTTGGCACCCTGACTATATAGTCCCAGTTTCAAAATCCGGTTTGACGCGTGATACGAAAAGTAAAAGTACCTGTAGAGCCAATCTGCATGCGTTCCTTTTTTTCACACGGGCGAATCCTTACGGGCCGAAGGATTACGCAGGATTCTCCGAGAGAGGACGCAGTGGGACTTCGAGGGGGCCCAGCTACAGCGCGATTAACTACTCGAGTCAACCTAGTGACGTCAGCCTCTCAAGTCATTGACATCCAGATTCTCACTAGCATACTTATCGCATCCAGTCATTCAGCGTGTACTCCTTTAAATTTCGTAACTTCCTCCGCTCTTCCCTTCCTCTTTTTTCCCCTTATCCCTCTCTCTCTCTCTCTCTCTCTCCACCCACCCACTTGACGTTCTCGATAACCCGACGGCCTCATTCTTCCACCGCCGCCCCTGGCGAGTCCCTCAGGTTCTCGATACGGTTCCTGGGTTCCGCGCGTCTCGTTACGCGAATCGGCATTAGTCATCGTCATCGATGTCGTCACCTCCAACGACGTGGCGATCGTTGCGATCGTTGCGATCGTTGCGATCGTTGCGATCGTTGCGATCGGCGTTACCGCATTCGCAACGCGAGAGGATCGAATGACTGTTACTCTTGAATTTATTTTTTTGGTCCGACCCAACGCGTCAGTTCCAGCTTGTGCACGAAAACAACGTAGCATGGAATTGGTAGAGGGCCAGAGTGGAGACTTACTGAAAAGTTACGTCGACCAGAGTCCAAGCTATTGCGTCATAGACGCGAATGAGAATCGGCGCGAGGGTCAAACCCCCCATGGTAAGGCAAGAACCGGAAGGAAGGAGATCGGTTCCTTGAACTCGAAGTTGAGCTCGGGAGGATCGTTTCTCGAATCCAAATCGGGAGGTCGAACGGCAAGTCCGGTAATGATCGACGGTCCTTTCTCGTCCTGCGAGGCGTCGCGGCGCCACTCTGGTCCGTAAGTCCGTAAGGTAATTCACACTCGCTGACTCGCGCACGACACGGGATATCCTTGAAGCCTCCTAACGGTCCTTCGAGAGCGCCTTGTCTCCGCGTTGCGGGAATTTCAATAGTCTTTTCCCACACCTGTAATGCGTGTACGGACTGTACGGTGGCTGCGCTCCGTTACACGTGCACGGGGCTGCCGGCCGTTTGTATTCTTTGTATGTCTATACGTATAACGTAGAGGCATAAACCTTCTTACCTGCCATTAACTCCACTCGGATTCCCATGCGCGTCATTGTTGTGGATTCGCCATGGATTTCGGTAATCCTCAAAAAAGCCTGTAGATTCTGATCGGAGCATCGCGGTAATAGAGATCCACGTGTGATACGTGGAGTGGGCCGTAGGTGGTCGGTGCGTTATATAGATATACCGGTGTAACGAGCAAAGGCCTTTGCTTACTTTACTTATTCTAATCGCGGTCGGTCACGCGAGCACATGGAAATGGTAATAGGTAATTCGTGAGAACGTGGGCTCCCTTTATGGAAGAGCGTCATACGGCCGAGGACCATGAGGTCCTCTTCCTGTGCCCGTTCCTTCCGGTACGAGGAGGAACCGCCTCAGCCGAACGTCACGTGTGTAAAGGCGGAGCACGTACGAAATAATGAAAATGATTTTGCGCCGAAGAACGAACGGTTCCTCGAGGCACAGGATGTCATTCATTTTTGCTCCCGGACGGAATTTCGCAAGATTAATTCCAGCGGCTCCGACGCTTCTGCTTCGTACGACAGTGAAGAATCGTCGGCGCATTCGGCAACGTTAAACAGGTAAATCTTAAATCCCCGTGCGCGTGTAAATCTGCAAATGGCATTTAATAAATCGTCGGGCGCTGCTCTTTATCGCGCGACTCGATCGGCTGCTTCTGCGATCACGTGCGCGTTAACTCTATTTTCTTCTCTTTGCTCTGACTCTGTGTATGTATACGATTATTATTAATAATATATACCCGACGAGTGCGCAGTCGCCAGTTCCGAGAACTCTGCTTTCTTTCGAGCGATTCGCAACGAGAAATCTTGAAGATCGTAATAATTACGTCTGATCGGTAATTGGGTCAGATTGATCCAGTTGCCATTGAGATCGGTTACACCGATCTTAGAAGTAAGAAGCATCCTGCTTGTTAGACCTTCGACAACTGCTCCTCTCGATTCGCACTCTGCTGGTCCAGCTGCGACCCGAACGCGGCGTCACGAGATTACTCTCATGGACTTGAGAACCTTCCAGGCGTTTCTGCAAGCTATTCTTGGACCGAGATTTCCTCGGCAGCCTCCCTTGGGTCCAGGTATTCGGCAAATACAATGGACATGGGGGATTCCTGAAACGTCTGGTTGTTCTTCGATTCCCGAATTCCTTCTGGACTTCCCGAAGGACTTTGGTCGACAGTGAGAAAGGGATCTCTCGGAAAGTGTCTGGAAACAGGTCCGCCATCCTCGGATGCGGTTTATCTCCGGGTGTTATGCTAGTCGGTGAATCGGTGAGTCGCGGTATGGGAAC